CAGTACTATACGCACATGGCCCTTATTAACTCACCGCTGACAACAAAGTATCCGCTTCACTGTTCTTCGCGCCAACTCCACTGGCCCTGTTCTCATCATCAGATGGTGACTGTACATTACTAGTAGTAGTATTGCCGAAATTGCGCAATGCATGCTGGGTCCAGGCAGCCAATGACTTGTTGACAATGCTAGCTGCACAGTCATCGAGGATCACCAGTCTTAGCTCACATACCATCACACTACATGTGGAGAGGAATTCTGCAACGTATCTGGCTACCACTGATGAAAGTGTTAAGGCTATAATCAATTCCTACCTCTCTTGCACTTCCTCAACGACCTCAGAATCCTCCAAGTGATGCCGTAATGCTGCAAGAAGCCCATCACAGCTCTTGATGGCTGAGCATCTTTCCTTCAGCCCAAACCTAGCCCAAACTTATAGTATATAATCCTACGATAGACTTACGATGAAGTAGACACCGTCAACTTCTGCAAAGGAGGGACCCCTGCAAGGAGCAAGCGCTCGTATCGTCGTCCACTTGCTGATACCAGTTGGCGCAACTTGAAACATTGTCGACTGAGTGTACCTTCTCTGGAAGAGTAGGGAGGGTAAGCATGGAGACAGGGTACGGTAATGGGTGTTGGCTATGTGCTTATCATGACCCTCGTAAATAGCATGCCTATCCTTCATATCACCCCTGCTATGGTGACCACCATTGACGACGTCATCAAATGTTGGATGGCGTACTACGAACAGGCCGAGGATCTGACAACCTATTCCAATACTCGTACCAAGAGCATGAGTATAATCACCGTATGGATGTATAGCTCGAGAATCTGGGCTAGGGCTATGATGATATCAAAGTGGACCTGTACAGTGGAGCGGTGAGGAATTGACTGATCGATTGGCATCGCTCACCGAGGGATGGACAACACCTAGTTGTAGCAGTTCCCCCATCCGATTTGCCGTAGCTTGTGTAAGCAAAGGCCATCTCGGGGACACCATAGATGACACCCTGAGCAACATTCATGGTCGGGAGCCTTGGGATAACTGACGAGACCTACCCACCAAGGTCTGGGTCATAGATGGCAGCTTCGATAGACGGCTTGGACAGTGCCTCGAGGCCCTCAACTCCCCCTGTTATTGACCCTCTAAGCCTCCTAGGGGAAGGTATCAGAGGCTGAAAGCCACTGCTGCCGTATACAACTACATACTAGTAGCGTACATCAGATGACTCCAGCAAATTCCATGACTCTCTTTGCGCTAAAGGCAAGAGGTCCGCATCCCAGACCCTGAGGCTAACATCTCGAATAATGCTTTGCCCTAGTCGACTTATAACCTGTAGCATTCATGAAGTGATTACACGAATATAGCGATCGATACCTGTTCCAAAGCCCCAGTGGTCCCACTACCATTCATAGTGGCATGGGAGAATACTCGAAGCAAGCCACATACATTAGATGCTATGCTCAGAGGACAACCTGAGAAGACGGATAATCTCAGCTCAACTTGAGCATCATCATAGTCGGCGATTATCTATTTTCAGCTACTGTTCTTTAGTGTTAGAGTTATTGATGCCGTACCCACCAGTAACAGAATCAAATGGTTCCAACAGGGACTGTAGCTGATTGTTGACCCTGTCTAAGACCATATCTCGACGGGCCGTAAGCTCAGCAGAGAGGTTATTGATGAACTCAATCAAGTGTGGATCGTCATCCGTCATAACATCACATCCCTAACATATGATCATTCGTAGGAAGTATCCATTCGAGACCCACTTTGAAACTGTCATGCCAAGTGACGAGCCTGTCATATCGGATGATGAGCGTTAGGAAGACTTCAAGTCTGCAAACGACGAAGTTTAAACTATACCGATTACGAGCTGGCTGCACTACAGCCTATGGAGGAAATGCGGGAACTCTCTAGGGTCTAGCAGTTGGCACAATTCAGACGCTGGCATGGTCTTCCGTCCAGTATACGCAATCTCGTCCATGACTCGCCCCCCAAAGTTAGTAGCAGCCAGGAGGCATTGCCGCGCTATGGTGCCCACCTGAAGGGGGGATATGCTCGGCCTTGGACACGCTGGGCCTTACAAGATTGCAGAAAATGGAGCACATGTCCGCAGCAGGATTGATATCAGCTGAACCCACGTCAGTGTATGAGATGATGAGCTGCCAGTACCTCCAGGATAAGATTTGATGGAGGAGTGGTATCAACTACTACCCTGATAAGGTCTCAACATAAGCCTTTTGGAGGCTACTGAGGTCATCTACCACAGCCAGGGGCTTCAGTCTCTCATACAACGTGGATTTCGTGTCTGCTAGTAGTTCGGACGGATGAGTCTGAACATACGACTTGGTAAGCTGTAATACTAGTAGTAGAGTATACCCAATCATGACCAGCCTTCTTCATCCAACAAGGCAGCTCTATTCCAGCAGTCAGGAGCTGTTGTAGGCGAATGGCAGCATGGATGGACTCAATGACTGTTGACGCTGATCGATAGGCCTTGTATGCTCGAGACATCCGCGCTACGTCCATGATCTGCCAAAAGTTCCATTAAGTGCCACTACGTAGCCATGGTGTGCGACGACATCTTCATTACAACTAAACTGAGCTCAATTGCCAGGGATGCTTACTATCGCATTCTAACTCCACTAGAGTGAGACCCCATTACCCGCTCCTTCACCAGTATTAGCCTATGCCTCCTTCTGGCTAGGGCTAAGGTCCTAGTAGGGGAGTACACCTTCCTCTCCACCAGACTTCGTAATGCACGACGTGAATTGACTGTGGCTACTAGGGCTAGGCATACCTAAAACTCTTTACAGTCAGTCATTGACTGACGGGGCAGAGGCCACGTCCAAGCTCGATAAAAGCTCACCACTCATCCATTAATACCTCCCTCGAAGCTGCCTCTATTATGTCATTCCCTCTCCTGAGTAAATCTCTCCTTTTGCTGAGTTCCAGCGCCAGCACGTCATTCAAAGTCTTCTCCCAACGTTCACATTGGCTTATACGATCCCTTAGTACAGTCATATCCACTACCACGTCCTCATCGAGATCTAGCAATGTGGACAACTCCACTACTAGAGACCTGTATAGATCACATTGCGACCCGAATATGTGCATTACTACTACCTCCTATAGCACCATACTTCTCCATCATTAGCAGGCTGTCTATGACAAGGATCTTTTAAAGGGTCAACAGGAAGGAAGTGTTCCGGTATATCTAGTTCGGCTAAGTGTGGTACTGTTGGGGATTCCTCAGCCATGATATAAGTTATATCATATAACTCGCAACAAGGAACACTTCACTCGTTTTGACTTCAATGATTGTATTCCGAGAGCTAGCACGAGCCAATGTCAGCTTCATACAGTAGATAGCGCCACTAGTATCACTAAAACTGCACTCCTATGTACTTCTAGTATTAATAATATTAAAACGAATATAAGTAGCTTGGCAACGTTATGGGTAATTTGGGGACGGTATGAGTAATTTTGGGGAGGGTATGAGTAATTCTGGGGACGGTATGAGTAATTTCGGGGACGGTATGAGTAATTTTGGGGACGGTATGAGCAATTTTTGGGGACGGTATGAGTAATTTTGGGGAGGGTATGAGTAATTCTGGGGACGGTATGAGTAATTTCGGGGACGGTATGAGTAATTTTGGGGACGGTATGAGCAATTTTTGGGGACGGTATGAGTAATTTTGGGGACGGTATGAGTAATTTTGGGGACGGTATGAGTAATTTTGGGGACGGTATGAGTAATTTCGGGGACGGTATGAGTAATTTTGGGGACGGTATGAGTAATTTCGGGGACGGTATGAGTAATTTTGGGGACGGTATGAGTAGTTTTGGGGACGGTATGAGTAATTTTGGGGACGGTATGAGTAATTTTGGGGACGGTATGAGTAATTTCGTAGACTGTACCCCCTCTATAGGGGTGCCAAACTGACCCATGCCCAACGTCGCGGGAATAATTCCTGCCCTTCTGTTCAGTCGAGTATAGAGTGACTTGAGTGATGATGCTGCTCATCATCATGCGCAGACGTGCCGAAGCGTGACTTTAAGTTCGGGTTAGATAGCAAGATTGTACTCATGCCCCCATCCTCATCAGACGGCACTGGCCGCATTGAATCATCGGTTGTACTGTTGGATTTAAATGGCATCAACATCATCATCTGACGATGTTGCTGTCCACAATACAGTGGTCTCACCCGAGATGGAGACTAACTCCGATACCACCACTGATGATGATGGTGGCAGGAGGAGGAATAGAGGTAATAGGTAGCCGTGTAGTAGCATCCTTGGTGGATTCTTAACAAAATTAGATCCACCAATAGTGACTTTATCGAGGCATCTGATAGCAGATTATAATGATGAGTCCTATAATGCAGCAGCAGCAACAGTTACGAAGGGCCATGGGCTGGGGTGGGTCGTGGACTGTTCATCCCGCGTAGTTATCATCACCAGTCAGTTACGTTACCGCCGACTTCGATAGTGAGTTTGATAGTGAATCCGACGCCAGTAGCGATATGTCAACCTCACTTAATCATCATGTTGATGATGGCCCTCGACACGTCTCGAAGATACTCTCACCAGATGTAGTACGACAGATAACGGATAAGGACTCCAACCGGCCCAGTGCAGCATCCATGGGGATAACCCCCGGCCCGTCTACTACCGAGTAATGCTGGTATCATCATTCGCATCTTCCTCTACTCGCGTTGTTATTCAGGAGGCAGCCATCTCTATGGTTGGACTTGAGTGATATGTGGCAAGAGGCCACACATGTCGTGGGAGGCTTGGTACAACAGGCCAAGGGATTCCAACTCCCCGAGTCTTGTCGGTATAACACTTATCATGTACCCACACCTAGGGGTAGTGATGAGAAACAGTGGCGGTAGTGTTCAGTCCTTCAAGTTGTCTTATTCTCACTAACGGTGGCATCTATACGAATTTTGTCAAGATTTCCAACATCGACGAGAGATATTGCGTACAACTTCTTAATATGTCCTCGATAGCTTTTACTCACGCCATGTCAATGGCACTTGCGTTCCTCGTGTTCCTATTATCACTACAAGTATTCATCGTTGGTTCGTCAGCCATATCTTCTCACGCCTATATTGAGGTCCTTCCTGATGAAGATCCTCAGACTGCCAAATACGATCAGATATTCCTCTGTCCTTATGACTCCATTCCCTCTGACCTCGGGCCCTGGCCTGCTGAGCCCATCACAATAGATGGGTCAGCCTGTATGGATCGACAGGAACTGGGTCTATATCACAACCAGGAGACTTCCTTGGAATGCTACTCCCAAATTACTGATGATGTTACTCGAGTCATGGATCAACTCGAGATGCCTGTGTTCTTGGTTTCTGGGTCCCTACTTGGTTGGTACAGACATAATCAAAGCCAGATCCCATGGGCTGAAGACGCCGATGTTGGACTCATGCGCGATGATTGTGATGCCTCGTTCAGACGGTATGGTGGCGACTTCGACAATATCTTGGATTTACTCAAGGCCAAGATGGGCCCAGGTTATCGTATAGCTGCTCATCTCCCTGGAAATGGAACTGATCTGCCTAGTAACTCCTTTACCGGCTGCAATACTGATGTATTCTACGCCCAGATAGACTACAAGGGTCACACCTGTCATGTGGATGTATGGGTGCTATCGCAACAGGATAAATGGTCTGCTGATTTCAACCAGAAGTGCAAGTGTCCAGATTCGGTGCCTTTCCCTAGAGTCTGCCGTTGGCCTAATGCTTGCAATACAGTGTCCGACTTGGTACCATCTACATGGTCAACTCAAAGAGGTGGTAGCTTTACAGCCCAAGTTATGGTCCCCAACAAACCAATAAATGTCCTTCTTAATGAGTATGGTAATACCGGTTTCTACAACATGAAGCGTATCCCCCTCAATCACAATTTTAGGAATTTTACTTTGG